TTCAAAAACAAGACAAAGTAAAACACAGGTTTGCTTTATATCCTCTCTACTTTCAATTAAAATATCTCCAAGTATCTAATACATACATATTTCATGTATACTTTATGATATTTCCTGGGAAGTAGGAACTGTGACCTGTCATTATTTTTTAAGTAAAAAACCCCAGAGAAGTCAAGGCTACTGGGTAAAACAGAGGCACCCCATGGGCCATTAGACTGTCATGGACCTTAGTGTGATTTTGACTACTACCGAGATCACATTTTCAGCAGTGGCATCTCATGACAGCCATGCTTGACTCAACTCTCTTTAGGGGCAGTGAGAGCCATAAACACGTGGACTTTTCATTAAGGGAGCAGTAAGCAGCTACTAGGTCATGGGGAGAAGTTTGGTTGGTGAGGGCTGCTTCTGCTCAGTTCACCAAAAGAACCTAAAATGTAGCCCTTCACAGAGAGTCAGGAAGTGAGGAACACAAGTTCTGTATGTTTCTGTGTTTAGCAGAAGGAAAATGCTCTGAATTGAGAATCAGGCCACATGGATCCCTGACTTGCCACTAAATCATTTTCTGGCCATGCACATGCACTCTCAGGGCATGGTTTCTTCATTTATAAAACTGTACAAGAGTTGATGAGGTCATCTTGAAGGGCCATTCTAGCTTTGGCAGCCTGAGCTTTTGACAGTCCTGTTACTGTGAAATTAAACATGTGGTTAATGTCTGCTCCATACCATACATTGACTTGGTGGTAGGCACTGTGCTGGGAGCTGGGGACACAACAGTGATAAAATATAGTCACCACCCTCAAGGAGCTCACAGTCTAGTAGGGGAGGCGAGGTGTTAAAGACAGAAGTTGAGATTCACACAAGGGAGTATGGAGGAGGTGGGTATGCCCTTTGAAACCGGTTGCTTTCACTCCTAACAGTGCCTCCTGTTCACCAGAGACACTATTGGATATTTTATTGGTTCTTGATTATCTGCCTCTCCACAGGCTATAAATCCTGGAAAATAAACACCTCCTTGACTTTACTGTTGCCCCAGCAACAACTTCATATTCACAGCAGACTCTCAACAAATATTTGTTGAGTGACTTTGGAGATTCCAGATTTGTCATCTCTGAAGTCAATGTCATTCAGTGGGATGTTGGGGGAGGAGGGTGGAGAGGGACATTATGCAAGGCATAAGGTGCCAGAAAGCTGCCATGTTAGCCTTCTATGAGATAAAAGGCTGCTTCTCAGATGCCATACTAGGGACTAGAACTCCTTGTCCAGCTGTGGCGTGGCTGTGTATTGATTCAACCACTGGCTTGTCCAGTTTTATGAGAGGCCATCTCACCAAGTGGCACTTCTGCCTACTACCAGTAGATGGGGCAGTATCATAAAAAGTACAGTCGCAGTATCTAACTCTGCTTAGTTTGCTGAGCTTCTGTTCCGGAACTGCCTTGGGTCTCTGATCTCATAAGTGTGCTCTCAACATTCCCAGTGAAGGAGTTGTAGCCTCAGTTGCTTTCAGCGGGGGTGGAAATCTTTGCCACAAGGCAAGGCGGGCCCCAGAGGCTCGCCCAGTCCCAGGCCTGGAGATGAGACAGCCAGGTTCCCCTCCTGGGTTTTGGACCAAAGGCCCAGGACATGATTCACACCAGGGTGTTTGTATCTGCCTAGAACCTTTCTGTCCTACCCAGGTTGAAACAAGTGTACTAAAAAGGCAGTTCTGTGGGCCTAGGTGTCTGGGACTGGCACTCTGGCTAGCCTTGCCACTATGGTCTCCTGGTTTCCCTGTCACCACATGAAGCTCTTGGTGGTGCCTCCTGCAGAGGTTGAGACCAGCCTCAGCTCCCACCACTGCTTTCTCTTCTTCCTCCCTAAACCCTTCTGGCCCTTGGATTTCCAAGGAAATGTCAAAAGATTGAATATAATGTCAGCTTCTGAAGAGATTAGACGTTGAGATTAGTAACTATCTAAAGTTAGCACAGGTTAATTTGGTGTGTTTCCTTCAGAATTTTTTCCTTTGGAACACATCCTATCTTCATGGGTACTGCATGATGTTCTAGAAATGTAAGAAGAGAAAAATCAATGTTGATTTAACAGTTTATTACAGTACTTTCGCATTCCAGCGCCAGGGTCAGTATCCCTCCACTAACCCATCAGTGCAGCTGAGGAGTAGGGAATTATGGCCCTAGTTGGAGGACTTCATGGGATTATCCATCTGTGAAAAGGCCATTTCTTCCTTCAGAGACTTGAGTGTCCAAAGCCATTACCAGGAAGCTTTCTTCTCTGATAGAGAAGCTTTCTTTTCTCATTGTTGTAATCATTACACTCTACCACACTTTATACATGTGCATACATTTTCCTGCTTCAAGAATTTTGCTGTCTTTCATGCCCAGAAAGCCTTTTAATCTCCCCGTCTGGAGAAATGGTGATCATCTTTCAAACATCACCACTTCCGTGCAGCCTTTTTCGATTTTCCTAGTCACGATGCACCTTTTCTTTTCCCAGCTTCTCATAGTACTTTAGGTCTTTCTCATAGCATTTAGCCCACTAAATGCCTTCTTATTCACATGTGTGTCTCATTCATTAGAACACCAAAGATTTACTGAGTGCCAATTTGTACTGGACACGGAACTTTTAACAAGTCTACATTCCAGGGGACGCTCAGAGTCTGGTGGATTTTACAGTCTTCATTGGACTGGGAGCTTCTTGGAGACAGGAAGTGTGTCTGCTCCTAGATCAGGACCTGGCACCAAAAGGAACCCAGAAATGTTAGTTAAATTGAAGCTCAGTACCAATGATGCTGAGCAAGTGGGTTAGAGTTCACAGGAAGGTTAAAAGGTAGCAAGACAGAGGACCAGCGAATTTCCAGAAGCCCTGCAGTGGTTCTGAGATGAGGATCTGCTATGTAAACCAGAAATATCCCAGATCTCCAGTGGAAGGGGCCTGTAAGGAGGGATTGCTGTCCTCCTCCACCCCAAGCTTGGGAGTTTGAAGCAGGACATTTGGACATTTATTGCACATTCCACTAGAAGTCTTTTTGCTTTGACTGAACAGACTGTAGAGTCAAGCAGGTTGTTTCATGGGCCCAGAAATGAGTTACCATCCAAAGATCAAGCTGGATGACTAAAGCTACATTGTTCAGAGCTGGGCTTGGGTGGGTCAGGCCTGTAATCCTCATTCTCCAGAGGCAGAGGCAGGAGGACAGCAAGTTTGAGACTACCTGGGGCAAATGTATTAGTGGTATCAGTGAAACAGCAAAAAAACAAAAAACAAAAAATAAAAGGGCTGGGGGAATGGCTCAAGAGTGGTAGAGTGTTTGCCTGGCATGAACATGGCCCTGGGTTCAGTCCCCACAAGTAAACAAAAAATTCTACGTTGTCTAGTTGGTGCATGACAAAAAGCAATGATTAATACAATTATCACTCAAAAATTTCATTTAAGTTTTTCCTAGGAATTTTCATCCAAAATAATGTCAGTGATATAATAAAATGAATTACAGACCTGCCAAAGTAAACTGAGATCTAAGCACATACAGAATTACTTAGAAACTGCATAAATCTCAGAAACCTGCTCCACTCCAGGGGCTGACAGCAGGAAGGGGTAAGAGCTGGAAACACCTGGTTTGTTGACTGTATACAGTAATACAGTAGCGTTCAGTCATCTTAGCATTTACTTTTCACTACCTGAAGTTTATCTGTGGATAACTGACTCAAGATAGTAAAAGATAAGTCTTTGTTTCTGTTTTAATAGAATACAATTTTGAAAATAGCAATATTAAGCAGCACCCAGTGATTCTCGGACTGCTGTCACACAAGGGAAAAAAATTACTATTTCCCCAACATTTTTGCACTGGAAATTATATACTACAATCTCGTCTTCTACCACCTCCCCCAGAAGTTTCGATCTAGACATACATTTATTCAGTTAGTTGCAATTCAGCCTGGGGGAGGAGTGTCAGAGTTCAAGTTCCTTTTGCTGCAGGGTAACTCTAGATCTTCGTGGTTTCTGTAGATAAAACAGTTGCTGGTAAATCTGGGATGTAATCGCCCAATTGGACGGGTTTCCCCCTTTCCTAGACCAAAGGTTTCAACTGTGTCCCATTAAGACACCAGAAATCCGTCGGCCGTCGTAGGCCGAAACGGATCCTCTTCTCTGCTCCTCCCCTGTCCCCACGCGGCGAATGGTTCGCGCCGGCCTATATTTACCCGAGATCTTCCTCCCGGACGGCAATGATGTGAGGCGACAGAGCTGGTCACCGCTCTCACTAGGACCGGAGAAGCGCGCTGCAAAGGCGGCCATCTGACCTCGGAGAACCCGGGAGCGGACTTGGACATCCGCCGCAGCGAAAAAAATGAGGTAGCGGAGGTCTTCGGAGCCCACAATGCGCGCACCCCGCCTTCGGATCTTGGCGCTGCCCTGGCGGAGCCAGCGGGAACAGTGAGGCGACCGAACGAGAGTCCCCGGCGTCCGGCGCGAGCGAGGATGCAGTGAGCCACAGCGGGACTGTTGCGCGGAGCCCGCGGCGGCCAGCCGTACCCCATCTAACCGCACTTTGGGCAAGCTGCTGATTCTGGGACCAGCCCAGCCAAGGGGCCGTCCGTTTCCAGCACCCCTTGGGGGTGGGGCACACCGGCCCTTAGACGCACTGCTATAGAGTTTTCGGCGGCTTTTGGCCCCTGGCCCGGGGACAGTGTGTGAGTTAGGGCCCTGTTGACGTTCGCCGAAGAGTTCTGCATATTCTCGCACCATCCTTTTATTTATTTGCACGCGCATATCTAGCTTTTTTTCTAAGACATTTTCCGCTCTACTCTCCTCTCTCCTCATTTTGTTGCTTGCCTGAGACTTTTGCCTGGTCCTTGCCCAGGGTGGGTAATTCTGTGTTGTGTGTGTGTGCGTGCGCGCGTCCCTCCCCCTTTTGCACACTCGAAGCCTAATTATTTTCTTATCTTTAAAAAAATTCTCCATTCCCCTGCGGGGGTTCCCAAGCACTATCTGTTCACTCCCTCTCTCTTCTTCCTACCACTGGGCCGCTTACATCAAGAGTATTATTTTTCCGTCTTGCCCGGGCCAAGCCCAGCCGGGGCTGGTGGCTCAGCGGGGCTCGCAGCCGGCGCTCGGCCGCCGCCGCCCAGCTGCGCCGGGGCGCGCTCCGGAGATGCTGCCGTGGAAGAAGCACAAGTTCGAGCTGCTGGCCGAGGCGCCGCCGCGGCAGGCGTCCAAGCCCAAAGGCTACGCTGTGAGCCTGCACTACTCGGCGCTCAGCTCGCTGGCACGGGCTTGCCCCGAAGGCGCGCTCAGCCGAGTGGGCAGCATGTTCCGCTCCAAGCGCAAGAAGCTGCACATCACCAGCGAGGACCCTACTTACACCGTGCTCTACCTGGGCAATGCCACGACCATCCAGGCGCGCGGCGATGGCTGCACTGACCTAGCCGTGGGCAAAATCTGGAGCAAAAGCGAGGCGGGTCGTCAAGGCACCAAGATGAAGCTGACAGTGAGTGCACAAGGCATCCGCATGGTGCACGCCGAGGAGCGCGCTCTGCGCCGCCCGGGTCACCTCTACCTGCTCCACCGCGTCACCTACTGCGTGGCAGACGCCCGACTGCCCAAGGTCTTCGCCTGGGTGTACCGGCACGAGCTTAAACACAAGGCGGTAATGCTGCGCTGCCACGCCGTGCTGGTGTCCAAGCCAGAGAAGGCACAGGCCATGGCCCTGCTGCTCTACCAGACATCAGCCAACGCTCTGGCGGAATTTAAACGCCTCAAAAGGCGGGACGACGCGCGTCACCAGCAGCAGGAGCTGGTGGGCGCGCACACCATCCCGCTAGTGCCACTGCGCAAGCTGCTCCTGCACGGACCTTGCTGCTACAAGCCGCCGGTGGAGCGCAGCCGAAGCGCGCCCAAGCTTGGCTCCATCACCGAGGACCTGCTCGGCGAACAGCAGGAGCAGGAGCTGCTGGAGGAAGAGGAAGAGGAGCACCCTGAAGGCTGCCTGGAAGAGGACGAGGAGGACCGTGGGGGCGAGGGGGATCCAGAGGAGGAGGAGGCCGAAGCGCAGAGAGCGCTGGTGGTCGCCATGCACTTCGAATGTGGGGATTTGTTGGACACGCTGGAGAATGGCCGCGAGGAGGCGCTGGGGGGCGGCGGGGTCTCCCTGGGCCCAGGGACCGGGACACCGCCTCCGCTGCCGGGCAGCGCCTCTGACATGAAGGCCCAGTTGTCGCAGCTTATTAGCGACCTGGGCGAGCTCAGCTTCGGCAACGATGTGCGCACCCTGCAGGCCGACTTGCGGGTGACGCGCCTGCTGTCGGGTGAGAGTACGGGCAGCGAGAGCTCCATCGAGGGCGGGGTCCCCGACGCCGCTGCACCCGCCGGGGACTCGTCCAGCCCGACTGACAGCGCCAGCCCCGACGAGCCCCACTCTGGCTGAACTCCCAGTAGAGTCCTCCATACATCCCCGGAACCCCACAGTAGCTCCCCAACCACGGTCTCAGCAACCTCAGTGTTCCCCGCCTGCCCCCAGGAAAGGGGAAATAGGGCACGTGAGGCCCAGATCTCAGCTTGGAGCCCAGGCCTTGAGTTCCCCGTGGCCACTTTCCTCCCACCCTGCGCGCCAACACTTTTGGCTCTCTTTCAGGCGGCTTGGGTTGCCAGTGGGTAGAGGCGAAAAAAGGAGTAAATCCCACAAAGGAGAGAGAGGCAGCCCTCTATGGTGGGGGTGAGGGAAGGCCCAGCTGAAGTTGGAAAAGTCCATGGGCATGAGGTGCAGTTTCCTGTTTGTGAGGCCAGCTGGGGCCTGAGCAGGGGGGGTCAGCTTCCTCCTCCTACCCCTCCCACCCTCCCCTCACTGGGAGGCCTCGCTCTATCATTGACTAGCCATTAACAAAATCTCCCTCACAAGGTTTCAGGCTTTAATGGCACCCCCTTCCCCAGTTCTTTTTGGTGCAAGAGAGCTTGGGCTGTTTACCTCAGACTCAGACTCTTGAAATTCTGCCAAATTCCTCAAATAACTGTTTTATTTTTGGTGGGGGAGTGAATATGAAAGAAAATTGCGTTTTGTTTACAGTTAAAGACATCTAATATCTAAAAAGGAGCTGTCCTTTAGAGACACACACCTTCCTCCTGTCCCAAAGAGCTCCCTTCCATGATGCTGTGTAAAATATTTTTTGCACTGTTGTGAAGTATTTTTGACGTCTTTTTTTTGTACATAACTGTGTTCTCAGAGCTGAATGTTTATATATCTTTTGCTGTGCAAAAGAAACGTAAAATGTTGTGCAGTTGTATATACAGAAATGTGTATAAAACATTTTGTTATTTTTTGAGTATCACTCTTCTGGGTCTGTTTGCATGTCAGTGGGGGGAGAGAATAAAAAGGAAAAGCTAACAGGCCAGCGTCTGGATGCCCAAGGTGCTTGGTGGTGGAGATGATAGGGGGTGTGTGTCTCCATCCTAAAATGGTGCCACAGGGGCTTGGAGAGGATTGAAGAAGGTGGGTCCCCGTTAGCATAGACAAGGCCCTTCCTGGGCTGCATAACTCACTGCTGTTGTCTGGGCCAGCCTTCTCCAGCATGTTCCATATTGGTTTATTTGTATGTGGACCCTCCTCTGTCTTTTGAGTCAAGGCCAGGGTGAGCTTGACTTCCCACACTCAGACTTTCATTTTTATTTATGGAGTGACTTCTGCCTTCTGCTGATCTCACCCTGATGGTAAGTATAAGGATGTATATCATCTTTTCCTTTGCAAACATCCAAGGAGCCTTAAAGAGATAAACTAGAGACCTAAAGGAGCTGGCCCAGGGGCTCTCTGAAAAGTGAGGCCTTTTCTGTTTTTCCTGGGAGGAAAAGCAAGTAGAGAGAAAAGTGGTAAGTTCCAATAGCATGTGAGTGAGTCATGGAGCAGGTGGGGTAGGGGCAGGCAGCTTGCAGAGCCGTTTCCTTCCCTTGAACGGTGTGGAGGGCAAGGCAGAGAAGCTGCTGGAGCTTGTTCCGAGTGTGTGTGGTGTAGGGTTTTCATGCTTTCCCTGTGTTTGTTTCTGTTGTAAACTCCGAACAGATGTCTCTAGTTGGGCTACACCCGATCAACTGGAAGTTGTAATAAGACATTGCCAAAGTGTGCCTCCTGCAAATGTTTTTTTCCCTTTGCCCTTTGAGCCTCTTTTTCTGTCTTGCAGAAGTGGATCTCACTCATGGCCTTCCCTGCTGTCGGAGGCCACTTTGCTTTGTTTTCATCGTAAATATGTTCTGAGCAGCTAGACTCAGAGATCTTAAGGAGTCTGGAATTCACTGGATCCAAAGAGGAAGGGAGGGTGAAAGATTTTCTTCCTAATTAATGGGAGTGGTTCAGAAATAAAGCTTTCTTTAAAAAAGACAAGCAAAGGAGGTGGGTGGGAAATATTTTTAAAATATTCAATGTCATCTTAAGGACATGGGCCAGGCCTTTGAGACTATTATATTTTGGTTTGGTAGAGACTTCTGTCCTCCCAGAATACCTCAGATACACAGCATTGAATGGCATTTAAAAACGCCCAGGTAGAGATCAAGAAAATCAAATCCCAGTCTGCCTACACACAAAACAGTGATGTGGCCTTCCGCACCAATGTCCTCACCTGATCTCTGACCAGCAGACAGCTATGTGATCTTGTCCAACTAGATTTCATGTTTCCTATTATTTCTCCACATCACCAAGTTCCTCTGCTGGTCAAAACTAATGAAGACATAAAACAGTGAAGACAATATGGCGAATTCTGGGGGTGGGGAAGCATGTATGTGCCTTCATTTTAAACTGACTTATGTTGTCCAGTGAGAATGCCAAGGTTGGGTTTTATCTGTGATGGATGGGGGGGTGTGGTGATTGGTCAAAAAGCTTAATGACATTTTGGCCAATACCATCAATAAATATAAGGCAACTCTTACCTGATTCATAGTTAGCAAGGGGAGGGGGAGAATTTGAGGAAGAAGAAAAACAGACTGTGAAGGAACTAGCTCCCCTCCTTCCTGGCCCTCTCGCCTTCCCCCTCTTCTCTCCTCTATGCCTTTGGCTTTTATCCTCACTGCACCCTGGGGCTCTTGACTGATGTAATTCTAGAAGAGAGAGGAAGGTGATACATGATTCAACTCTTGCTACCTCTCAGTCTTCCAGGGATGATATCACTAGAGTAAGAAGAGATGTTTTGAATGAAAACAAAACAAATTTGCTCCTGGCACTCTGGGGGACAAGAGTGGTGTGATAAAAGCAAAGCCAAGTAGTTAGATGAAATATATATCCCAGAAAACACTTCAAGTCTGGTTTACTCATCAAATCTAGCACATCCTTCTTGCAAGGTGAGGCTCCTGTTTCTCCTTTACGTAACCTGATGGTACTTTAAATGCAGTGAGACACTGCACATTCTTTCCCAGTCTAAGGAATGCTCTGTGTCCAGTAATGCAGTACAGACTCCATGAAACCCAGGTGACGTCCGGGGGACAGGAGGGATTGTTGCAGAGGTGGCAGCTGAGTCCATGGAGCAGGCATTCATGCATTCATCAACCTCTCAGTACAAACATTCCGTGTTCGTTTCTCCAATTTGTTATGTATGTTGAGAGGGAAGGAAGGAGGAGGAGGACTGATATAAAACAAACAATAGCATGATAGTCCCTTTCAGCTGTGATAGTTTCAGAAAACACCCCCTTCACACACACACTTGCTCATCCTTAAAGAAATCATCCCTCTCACTGCCCCCACACTCAGCAGCACAGTCAATTTGAAACAAATTAGAAAGGCTCTTATACTAAGAGAGCACAATTGCTTCCCAGGGGACAGAGCTGTGTTCAAGGGTTCTGCTGGTGAAGGAGTGTGAGCTGACTAGGAGAATCTAGCTCCTGGCACCGCACTGGACATTTCAAAATCTCACCAGAGTCATCAAGGATCATGAGAAACACAAAAATTCTATTAGGAGCAAGTTGCCCTTCTGTCTAACAGAATTTAATAATTTAATAAGCAGGCCTCTTTCCTCTGTGGCATGCATCGGTAGCCCTAGCATCTGCTGGTAGGTGATGCATGACAGGTCTAGAAATGTGTGTGAACTGCAGGGGCCAGGAACTGATTGAGGCTTGGCAAACTGTTCAGTTCTAGGCAGGCAGGAGGCTGCCAGAGTCAGGGTGCATTGTGTTTTCTGCCTCCAGCTTCTGCACATGGCCACATCTGGATCTGGCTTTCTTAGTAGCTGGGACTTTTTCTGTTTCTGCTGATTTCTCCCTGTTCATAACCCCAAGGATCCCTGAGTCCAAATCTCCACTGCCAGCTCAAAGTGACCCAATTTGAGTAGCCTTGACTAACTACCATTTTGGTGATTTGAATGGCACTTGTTCCTTCCTCTTTCTCTAGGTGTTTAGTGGTACCAGCAAAGGTTCTTGTTTCTAACTGCCATGGACAGTGGCCCTTTTCTTTATCTCTCTCTCATCTACTTCCTCCTGCTAACATATCATTCCCTTCTGACTTTGTCTACTGCTCGTCTCCCTCCCCTACCCCCCACCCCCTGATTCTGGGTTCATTTCTCCTCTTTTCCACAAACCTTGCTTAGATCTTAAGTCACCTAAAAGTAAAGAAAGCCCAAATTTTAAGAGAAAAACAAACCAATCGCATAGGCATCCTCCAGCATCAATACTACTATTCCAAACATGCTCGGACACTGCTCCCCCCCACACTTAGAGATAAAGAAACTGAGGCACAAAGGATGATGTCCAAGGTTGCACAGAAAGGGCCAATACCCGGGGATACAAACTCCTAAACCAGTGCTCTTTTCATAGGCTTCTGATTTTTAGGACTTATCACAAGATTTTTAGCTTTGGGATAGCAAGAACTGGCAGTTGAGTTTTTGTTTTCACTTCTTTGAGGGGGTATTCCTGTACTTTATGTGCAGGAGATGCTTGATGATAAATAGTTGGAGTGTTGTTAGTTAGCATCCAATTACCTGTCCCATGTGTGAATGAGTATGAGCCAGATGCACAATGGTGGAGGTAGAGGGCCCAGGTATCTGCCTTCCTGGGGTAGTGACAGCCCTCAGAGGAACTTGGTCTCCTGTTGCTTCTACCCTTGAGATCTGGTCTGGCGAGACCCCACCCTAGAAGAGCAGATCTAGGTTGAGGGTGGGGAGTTCTTTTCATTGCATCATGATTATTAATCATATACATCCTTCCTGCTTGACTGAATTCTTCAAGGTCAGGCATGTATCTTAGGCATCTCTGATTCATCCCAGTTAGCAAAGGGCCTGGCTCCTAGTAGGTACTCAAAAAATGCTAAGGAAGGAGGAAAGAAGCAATTTCATTCCAGTCTGGAAGAACAGGTCTGATAAATTTCAAGGTCATCATCCAGATGGAGGAACCAAAGTTTTAAGGATGTCTGCTTGGTGAGGAGAGAAGATTGGGATTCATCTAACAACTCACCTCTACATGAGGTAGTTTCAGTTCCCAGATTTTCCTCAGGACTTCCCTGACCTTCTAAAGGAATCTCACCTGGACCCTCACAGAGGCCTGGTTTGGAAGTGAGATTCCTTTAGCTAAACCAGAGCAGGAGACCTCTGTTAGGCATCCTTTTCACTTGGAGGCCACGGCGGGTCCTGAAATAGGGACTGTTATTGAATTTAAGGGCCACTTTAGGGTTCAGAGAAGTAACCTAAGTAAAATGACTTGCCTGAGATCACTTAGGAAGTTGGGATCAAAACTTCAGGTCCTCCTCTCCTCTATTTTCCTATATTGTACATGCTTTGGGCTGGGTATACATTAGTTTGGAGGCAGTCAAATTGCTGTCCAAGGAAACCTGGCAGAGCCCAAATGTCTGATCAAAGGTCAGGAGGGCATCTGGCAGTAGGGCATTTTGGAATCCTGACTACAGAACCCAAGACCCATCTGAGGATCAGGAGAGAGATGATAACTTGGGGAATGCTTCCCAACAACTCTTGCAGCAGGTTCCTCTTCTCCAGGACTCATCTCCTTCGTGTCCTTTTTCCGTGAACAATTTGTTCTTAGCTGCTGGTTAGAGATTCTCCCTCCCCGATGTTCCAGGGTTAGTCAGTCATGGCTCAAGAGGTCACCAACTCATTTCAGGATCTTCTATCCTCCTTCATCCTGAAAGCCTGGAAGCCAGATAAAACCTCAGGCTTCTCCGGTCCAGCCCCTTTATTTTATAGACGGGGAAATTGAGACCCAGAGAAGGGAAAGAATTTGGGCATATGTCGCAAGAAGC